AGAGTAGTGAGAGAAGATCTTCACCCTGAAACCCACAGCGTCCCTTTTCAGCAGGAAGTAGCTAAGAGAATACGCCATCCCCTTTTCTTTATGAATCAGGGTGAAGTCTCTCTCAGGGAGGAGTGATAGGGAATGGCAAAGGAGACACCGATTTAAGCATCTTTAAGCTACATAAAACAATTATGTGGGGGGGAAAAACCTAATTCAAGGATATGAACCTTGATAGAGATTAAAAGTCTGACCTCTAAGCAGCCCAAATGTATGCTCTGCAGCTCTAGTGACACAGTGAACAGATGACCAAAGGCAGGTGATTGGAATCTACTACGCACTCAGGGGCAAAAAAATCAAGACAGTCGGCTTCAGTTGAAGTTTACAGCCTTGGAAACTTATGGGGAGAGTTCTGTTTAGAGAACTGCCATGAGTTGAAATTGACTCCACCACAATGGGATTTTTAAATATTAACTGTTCTGGGCTAATAGTTTCTGTGCTTTATTTTCCTATTCATATTAGTCTAACCACTAACTCACACAATTTTCACTTCATTGGTAAAATTAATCATCTTTTCTATGAGGACAGCAAATATTTTTCACAGCATAGCAAAAGAGAAGTTAGGTTGTTGAAAAGTCATGTAATCAAGGACCTTTAGCACCATGTCCAATATGACTTGATGGCAAAGGATACATTTTGCTTATGGGTTTATAAACACAGCATTGCTTGCTTCCTCAGACCCTGAGTGAAAAGAAATTAAACTCTCCCTTTCTTTAAAGCTATTTAATTCTTTATCATAAGGAAGGTGAGAAAAATAAGAGATCATATTTTGATCCATCCATTTCTTTCATTACTATAGGAGAAATTGATTTAGTGAGGTTTTTTTTTTATTTCCAAATAACCAGTTTTGAAGGACTGTGCAAAAACATCAAAAGGGGGCTAATTTGTATTCACCTCTTTAATATCTATTCTTTCATGCTGACAGTATTTTGTCCTAAAATTTTTTATATTGTTTTGAGCTGAAGCATCTTCAATATTTCAGTAACAATTTATATATATATATATATATATATATATATGTTTTACTGTGAAAGACATCAAGTAGTTAGTTGTTTTAAGAAAAGAAAGGATATGGAATACACTTTGTAATTAAGACAATACATTGCAATATACAAGGAACTTAAATTTGAACAGTTTTTCTGTACATTTTATTTCATATAAAAATTTGAATTTCTATCATTTGAAGACACATTTTATCTACCTTTATAAATAGTTTTATATCAAATGGAGAGATGTATTACATTTTAACCATGGAAAAATATTACAAGTTATAACTTATTAAGATGAAAATAGTAAGTCAAGTGCTTATCATTCATTCATTTAGAATACACGTGATTTCAGTACTACTGGTGAATTTGTGTGATTGTGTGTGAATTTAAACGATTAAAAAAATTTTAGCTTCTCAAAACATACTATCTTTTTGTAGAGTCTCAGTGGAGTAATGCATATCCTGTTGGGTTTTTACTAAAAGTTCAACAATTTGAATCCACCACGATCAGCCACTCCACTGAAGAAAGATAGACAACTTTCACCCATAAAGATATACGGCCTTAGAAATGCAATAGAAGGTCAGTATGACTCAGGCTACCTGTGAGGGCCATAGTTTAGGTTTTCTATAGTTGTTGGAAACAAAATTATTTCAAATGAATCACTCTCAATATTAGTATAAGTGTATTGACTTGGTAGTCTTTTTAATAGCCCAAGGATTTTTAATTTACTTAAAAGTCTCAATTATTTTTTGAGGATAAATAATAATGATAGATATATTAGAAAGTCACATCCCCAAATGAACAGACCAGCAGCTCTTCGGAAGTAAAATGGACAGTCTCCTCTCCTGTGATGTACAGCCTGAGAAAACCAATGAAGGGTTAACTACAAGCCAGTACCAACTCAACAGCAATGAATTTAAGCTTTTATTTTTATTAGAAGTTATTCTATCTGAGGCTGAGGTTGGTTCTGCTTGGATGGTGTGGTTGTTAAATGCCATCAAGTCTGAACCTACTCATAGATTTTCAGAGACCATTAATTGAACAGAAAGTGGTTGCTCATCTTTCTTCTGCGGAGCAGCTGTTGGATTTGAACCACATGCCTTCAGGTTGGCAGTGCAGCTCCTTACCTCTAAGCCACCAGAGCTTCATAATGACTGACAAATGTAGAACCAATAATTCTCAACAAGAAAATGCCTTTCAAAGTATAATATATTTAACCCATTATAAATGAATAATTTAATATCAGACATAGTAGTTGGTTTTGAATTGGCTTTTTTGGTTTTTGCTGTTTGTTTTTTTTTTTAAACTTTTTTTAATTTAGGTTTTGCTTTTGTTATTTTTAAGTGGTCAATAATAGGCATTTATCTTTACATATTTTTCCTTTCCTAGACAAAATTATAACAACTATGTTTTCAGGTAGTATTTTTTTAATTGGCTGATTACATTTTAGTTTTAAAAAAAAAGTCTTCACACCTCTGAAGAAATCTTCAAATTTGTCCCTAGTTTAAACTAGACTCTCCAAAGAGCCATCAAACTGAACCTAAGTAAAATGTTCCATTTCTTTTATATATTTGGAAATGTTAATATAAGTTATCCAGATTATGTCTTCAATCATTTCTAGAACACTTACTATGAACTTGATGACCCACTGCTAAGAGTAAATAGGACTTTAGGGGATATTTTTTGCTGTTAAATTGTCTAATTCCTTACAGTTAACTTTAAGTATATTTTTAGCTTACTATTTTGAGTTAATTACATTCATTAGTTGTTAATTATATTGTGATTATCAAATCTCTTATAGTAAAATGAGAAGCAAAATGAAAATAGAATTAAGGAGGAAACAACAAAGAGAGTCATGGGAAAAACCAAAGAAGTATCAGCGTTTTTGTGTGCTGTGGAGTCAGAACTGACCCAGAGTTACCCTCCAGCATGTTTCCAGAGACGGTTAATCACACCGGAGGAGATTACACATCCTTCTCACAGGAAGCAGCTGGTAGATTCAAACCACACACCTACATGATTGCAGCATAGCTTCTTACTACTAGGCCACTACAGCTCCCTCAAGTATCACTGCTCTTGTATACTAGTTAGTAATAGTTGACCTCCAGTGGGTTTTCAGAGCCTGTGTAACCACACAGGAGGAGATTACCCATCATTCTCCTGCAGAGAAGATGGTGGATTTGGGATTGTAGAGCAGCACCTTACCACTAGAATATCAGAAGTCCCTCAAGTATCACGACTGATATAATTATCCATTAAAATAGACATTTATGGGAGTCCTAGTGGCCTAGACCATACGTCATTTATTGTGCTAGTAACCCAAAGACCACACCTCTCAGGAAGTTTGACACCACCAGCTACTCCTTGGAAGAAAGATGGACAATGTCATCCCATATTATTCACAGACTCAAAAATGCACTGGGAGCCCAGGTATGCGTCAGTTCTGACTCAATGGTAGTAAATGACATTGAGCTACATTAATGAAAAAAAAATCATTATTATCTACAAATTGTGTTGTCTCAATTTGTTTTTGCAGTGACGTGAATTTTAACACTTCTGTCAAGAACTCAACAGCACTTAATAACAACAACAACAATCAAGGAGCAAGAATCTACTGAAATCCCAAGGCACATGGTTCAAGGCCACCAACTACTTTGTGGGAGAAGAATGAGCAATCTCATCACTTAACTGCCTCTGAGAAATCCACTGGTGGTCTGCTATGGGTCTGTTCCAACTTTATAGTTTACAACAAAAATATATATTTTCAGATGAGGAAAATTATGATTTTTATTAAGGATGTAGAAACTCAAATGTTAAATTTCAACAATAATAACAATCACTTCAGTGTTTTAAAACCACACTGATGACTAAAAGTAAAACCTTTCTTTGTTATGTGTCTTTAGTAACAGGAATATAATAATTTGGTAAAAGATTAAATTCACAATTAATAAAGATGTCTTGAATGATAATACAAAATTAAGATAATTACTTGTTATCAAGTCTTATTAATTAAAAAAGAGTAATTGACAATATTTCCTCGTACAGTTCTTCTTCAAATAGTTATGTAGTAATAATTTAAGATTTGACAACATTATAATATTAAATAGAAAAAGCAGTTGAATTGGTATCAAACATAGATGTTTAAGGATTTAGTTTTGATAGATATTTTAATTAAGCTATTTTACTTCTAAGATAAGCTAAATCATATGTGTATACTAGAACTTGTCCCACTTTTATGTCTTTGCATACTACAGAGATAAATGTATGTATATTCATCTATACACAACACCTGCCTAATGCCAATACAGTTTCTTTCATATTTTTAGCGCTAGAAAAAAAAAGATGTTTGGATATATCTTGCTTGTTGAAAAATCTAACTTTTTAACTTGGTAAATTTTCAGAAATTTTTTATTTAATAAATTTGAGAAACATGTTTTTCTGCATCAAGTTTTCCTTATGAATCTACCGTATGCAAAAGAGAGCCTAAAGTTTACGTCTGCAGTAAATTATTAAAAGTGAGTTGCTAAGTTTAAGAATATTGTACCTGCCACTATTCCGATGACAGGAATGAGAAGCATAAACACAAGGAGATAAAGAACAATCAGTGCAGCTTTGAAAGACTTCATTTTCTCTTGAAGAGCAGGACCATTTTTAGGATCTGAAAACAAAAGTCCAACTTATTGTTAGAAAATGTTAATTTTTGTAGTAGGGTAAATAATTGCATTGCTAACCTAGAATCAAGTGATTCAAATCCACTAGCTGTCCCTCGGGAGGAAAATGGACAATCTCCTCTTGTGTGGTTTACGGTCTCTAAAAACACATGAGAGGGTCAACTATGAGTCAATTTCTACTTGATGACACAAAATAAGAAGTACCGTGTTGTTGTTATGTGCTGTCGAGTCATTTGCGACTCACAGCTCTAAACTATGCTCTGTCCTGTGCCAATCTCATTGTCTCCAACACACTCATCCCAATTGCCCCAGTTACCGAATAAATCCACCTCATAGAGGGTCTTCCCCTCCTGAGCCCGCCCTCCACCCTCCCAAGCATGATGTCCTTCTCCAAGGACCTGTCCCTCCTTATAACATGGCCAAAGTATGTCAGATGAAGCCCCAGAATCCTTGCCTCCAAGGAGTAGCCTTGTTTAACCCTCTTCAGGTTGAATCTGTTTGTTTTCTTAGCAGTCTATGGTACCCTCAACACTCTTCTCCAACACCAAAGCTCAAAAGCATCAATTCTCCTTCTATCCTCCCTGGTCATTGTCCAACTCTCTGATGCATAGAACTACAGTAGAACAACTTAAAATTCAAAGTGAAATTTATTTTTTTTAGTGAAATTTATTTTCAGAGTCAGAACTAACTCATAGCTGACCATCCAGCAGGTTTTTAAAGGCTATAAATTGCTTAAAAAAGATTTCTGATTATTCACAATAGCAAAGTGATGGAAGCAACCCATGTGCCATCAGCAAATGAATGGATAGAAAACCTATAGTATATTCACACAAAAACAAGGAACTCATTAAATATTACACAACATGGGTGACTCTGGAGGACATTATGTTGAGTAAAATACCTCAGTCACAAAAGGACAGTTTACATAACTCCACTGTTATAAAACAGGACTGACATGGGGATAGGTGAACACAGAAAAGAAGGGATAAATAATGAACACTACATTAGAACTGATGAAGGAAAGATGTATTTAAAGAGAATATATGATTAGATATTATTTGTATGACAAGAGTCCAGAGTAAAAAGTGCATAGCAAAGTGGACTAAGGGGAGGGGGAGAGAAATGTACTATAATGAACAATTTTTTTAAAAAGCAAACTATGGGGGGTAGGGAGGGAAATGTGCAACAATGAATAAATGAAAATACAACTTTTCTGTAAACTTTTGTTAAAATCACATATTAAATAGAGATTATTCATCTTTCTTCTGTGAAGCAGCTGGTAGATTTGAACAGAATACTTTTGTGTTGTCAGTACATCTCCTAACTAACTAGGCCACCAGAACTCCCTAATTTAAGATAAATTTGTTGTCATTGTGTATCATCAAGTTTGAATCCATCTATAGTAGACTCTCCAGTGGGTGTTCATAGACAGCAAATCGCAACAGAGGAGATTGCCCATCTTTCTGCCACAGAACAGCTAATGGATTCAAACCACTTAACTTTGCATTAGCAAGGAGAGATTGTTGTTGTTGCTGTTAGGTGCCACTGAGTCGCAGATGACTCATAGTGACCTTATGAATAGAAGATCTGAACACTTGTATAACTGTCATCATTTTTCCAAGTTCATAGAGTTTCCAGAAGCAAGCTATTTTGGAAGTGGATGCCATTCCTGTTTCTAAATTTGTTTAATCGGGATGCTCCACCAAATACTGTCCACCATAGGTAACCATTATCACACTTGACACATCAGTGTCACAGTATTTTGCATCACAGCAATCACGAGTTACCTCTATACAACAAATGGACAGTGCTATACCACTTAGAAGAATGTTTGCCCCCAAAAAATTACAACCAGACTTGAGTGTCACAGATTAAAATTACCTACCTTTGTCTTAGTAGCATAATTTTTGGCTAAGATAAAACCTTCAAGTAATGTGCTAACTGAATTTTGTAAAAATTCCCATTTTAACGAAACTTTGGGATGGATACCTGAAGTCCATCTTCTACATATTTCAGGATGTATTCATAGCAATAAACTTTCAGTATGATATATATCTGTACAAAAGTGGTTATATTATGAATGGGATACTAAATTGTGGCAGAAATAGATCAGTATAGACTATTAACTTAGTTCCTAAGGAAGACCTTTCTATAACCAGATGAGTAAAACATCGATTCAAAAAATCGTTTCTTGTAGTTTTTGTTTTTCTTGTCCAATTAAAAAGAACGAAAAAAAAAAAAAAAGCAAAATTTTATTTCAGGTTACAAATTCCGGAATAAAAATATAGATACTGTTCATTAATGTTGTACGAGGGACTAAAAGGCAATAAAAAGATAAAGAGTAGAAGTGGCAGAGGATAAGAGGGTGGTGAAAAAGGAGAAAAGTAAACAGACAAAAAAAAATAGAAAAGTAAAAGAACACACTATAAGAAAAATAGAATTTTTTAAAAAAATAACGGCCAAACTTTTGGTTGCCCTTTCTCTGTCCTCAGTGCCTCTGTTCTACCTTCTCAATCTCATTTTATCAGGGACCTCTCTAAAGTACTCATGAGCAACGGTGTCTCTCTGGAGACTAAGGTGTGCCTGATACAGGCCCTGGTCTTTGCAATCACCTGTTATGCATCAGAGAGCTGGACAATGACTAGGGAAGACAAAAGGAGAATTGACACCTTTGAGCTGTGGTGCTGGAGAAGAGTATTGAATGTACCATGGACTGCCAAGAAAACAAACAGATTCATCCTTGAGAGGGTTAAACTAGGCTACTACTTGGAGGCAAGGATTCTGGGGCTTCATCTGACGTACTTTGGACATGTTGTAAGAAGAGAGATATTTTTGGAAAGGAACATCATGCTGGGTAGAGTAGAGGGACGGCGCAGGAGGGGAAGACCCTCTATGAGGTGGACTGATTCAGTGACTGGGGTAATCGGGATGGGTGTGTCAGAGGTAGTGCGATTGGCACAGGATAGAGCAGGGTTTAGGGCTGTTGTACATGGGGTCGCTATGAGTCGCAAACGACTCGACGGCACATAACAACAACAACAACAACAAAAGAGTATCTGTTTTAGATGCTTTATAACCACAGATTTTTGGCCAGCAGCACAGAACAACTCCTTACCATTAGGCCACCAATGTCCCCCACTTCGCTTATTGGTATAGAGGTCCACTTTGCTTTAGAATGACCTCCATCCTGGTTTACCTTGGTAACAGCTTACTCGTGATCTTTTAAAGTTGCATATGCTGCTTTCTCTCACTGAAATGTCACAGAAACTCCTTTCCCATCTATTACTGTGGCAAACAGTATTTGTTCTTCATGACTTTGTGGCTTTGTTTATAAAAATCCTTTGTCCTGCCTTCCTAAACAAGCATGTCCAACTACAGCCGAGCAATGATTCTATTGATTTCCTGCTATAACCTACACAAACATGTGTTTCAATAACTATCAACGGTACTTTTCAAATATTATCTGAATAGGACCATAGCCATATCTATGACCTAGTATTGAGGCTGGGGACTCAAAAATATTAATCGTTTCCAAGCAATTTAATCCAATACAATGTGTTTTTACTTAGACTTAGCCTTATTTCCTATTCTGCCTCAAAAGAGTAGTAGATATATTTATCAGATAACTATTACTTTTAAATCCATACACATTAAACTAGGAGACATTGATGGCCTAGTGGTAAGGACTATAGTGCTGCCTACCCAAAGTTTTTTGCTGTTGTGTTGTTAAGTGCCATTGAGTTGGAACTGACTCATAGTTGACCCTCCCGTAAGTTTTCAGAAGCAATAAATGTTATAGGAGGAGACTGCCCATTTTTCTTCCCCCGAGTAGCTGATAAATTTAAACCATTTGCCTTTGCATCTTTCCACTAAGCCGCCAAACCCAGAGCCCCTTAACTCGAAGGTGGAAGGTTTGAACCCATCAGCTGTTCATGCTGGAGAAAAATGAGATATTTCCTCTTGTGTGGTTACAGCCTCCGAAAATATGCTGAAAGGTCAGACATAAGTAATTTATGAGTCAATGGCACATGACAAAAATGATCTATTAAATCTAAGTCTGAAGATTGTAATGTTGCCTGCTGTCAATAACTAAGAATAATCCCCTTGGACACCACACACTCTTTTCTACTTACTCTGAGAAATTAATGTTGTCATGGAGCGAGCATCAAATTTCACAGAATCTGAGCCACTATCAGCTTCTTCTTGTCGATTGGTTAACTGATCCCACATGTCCATATTTCTATCAAACAAATGAGGAAAAGACATATTTAAGATGTAGTTTTAAAAAGATTGTTGTTAGATGTCATTGCTGTATTGTTTATAGGGTTTTCAGAGACATGATACTTAAGAACTGAATGGCCAATCTTGTGTCCTACACAGTCTTAATCTAGGAGAGCTACTAAAGCTTGTCCACTATGGATGTCCTTTCTTCCATTTGACACTTTGGTGGCACAACTTTCAACATCACAACAACCACAAGCCATCTCAGCACAGAAACCTGACAGACAAGTCCTGTAGTTTGAAAAGGGTAAGCCTAATGAATTAGTGAAAAGAATATAACTAGTATATGTAAGACCTTTTGGTAATGAAATATTTTAGAACTTAGATGCTGACTGAATAGTCAGAGCTCACAACATTCCCATAGGATAAAAAAATGAGGTAATGTGTTGTTATCGTTGTTGCTGTTTTTTATGTTATTGTGTATCAAATCTATGACTCATAGCACCTTATGAACCTTATGACTCATAGAACCTTATGACTGTAGAGTTAGAACAGACTCAATTGACCCTCTGGCAGGTTTTCAGAGCAATTATTCACATGGGAATAGAGTCCTTCTTCCACAGAGCAGCTGGGGGCCTTGAAACACAGGCCTTTGGGATTGCAGTGCAGCTTCTTGCCACTAAACCACAAGAGTTCCTTTCATAAAGATTACAGCCTTAAATACTCTTTGGGCAGTACTATTTCTGTTATAGGATCACTGTGAGTCAGTAATTCATAAGGTCATAGATCTGATACAGAATAACATAAAAAAAGCAACAATCTATATGTAAAAATATGTTAAATTTAGTCTTAGCATTCTCATTTTAACGTTGAAAGTATGTTTCCTTAGAACTTACTTAGATATCTTTCTAAGTATAAATGTGTATTTGTGTGTTTATAGTTGTGTGTTTTTTCACTGGAAGAAGGGAGAGGTCATCTTCCCTTTTTTAGCTAAAAATATTTTTTAAAGTAAGGAAACAGCTTAGCTGGAAAAAAATTAGAATAGAGATATAATATTTGGTAGAACAAATATTTCCTGTGGTCTTTCATCAAGGTTTCTGGGTTGAATTGTTAAAACACAGCTTTATCAGACAGTTTTTAGATAAACTAAACTTTAGTTACTGGAATAGGAAACAAAGGGTCAATCTCATTTTTTTTCTCTCTTCCCTTTCTCTGTTTTCTCTCCTATTTACTTACTGATTTTCAGAGTCTCTCACCTAATACATTGGCAGTATGACAAACAGCTATTTTAAAGCATTATGTGTACATTATACCAAGGAGTCCTTGGGGTTCAATGTATCACAGGTTGAGCTACTAATTGAAATATTAGTCATTAGAATCTACCAGATGTTCTTTTCTATAAAGATGGGTGACAGCCTTCTCCTAAAAGGAGTTATAGTTTTGCCAAAGAAAGAGATACTTGATAAAGTAAAAGATCAGCAAATATCTTTCTCTAGCTACTAGTTTCTTCTGGTAACATGACCAAAATAAATTAAATCGTTGAGAAATTCTTTTTTTCCCCCTTTATCAAGATGTTGCTTATGGGTTCAAATTGTCAAGATTTTTGTTTTCCTCATGTTGAGGTATAATTTATTCTCTGAAGCCTGAGGTTTTGAACTTCATCAGGCTGTACTTCAAGTCTACTTTTTTTTTGCAACCATGGTGCATCACTGTACTATTACAGGTTGTTAGAGTCTTCTTCCAATCATGATGCAGTGTTCTTATTCATATAGTCTAGTTTCTTGGATATTTTCTCAGCATACGGATCGACTTGGCACATACTGATTTTAAACTGTGCAGTTGTATTCATCCCTTTGTTGTGCTCAAACAACTATTTCTCTATTACAGGTTCTGAATAAGCACAATTAAGTGTTCTGGAATTCTCATTCTCCATAATGTTACCCATAATATACCATGATGCACAGTAAGATGACTAAATATTATAATATTCCTACTACTAGAAGGAGTAGTAGAAATTGGAAAAGTCAAATCCACTCTAACCTGCCACTTGCTCCATTCTGAAAATTACCAGATAAACAAACCAACCAGCAAACAAAAACTGAGATGCTTAATAGAATTGGTTAAATTTATTTGAAAATTACCATGCATAGTGATTATGGGTGTTTGTTGTTTTTGAGTGCCATTGTTGTTGTTTTTGTTATATGCCATCGAGTCTTTTGTGACTCATAACAACCCTATGTACAAGAGCCCTAAATGCAGTTCTATCCTGTGCCAACCTCACTGTCTCAAACACATTCATTCCCACCACTCCACTCACAGAATCGATCCATCTCATCAAGGGTCTTCCTCTCCTGCTTTGTCCCTCCACTCTCCCAAACATGATGTGCCTCTCCAAGGACCAGTTCCTCCTTGCAACATGCCCAGAGTATGTCAGACGAAGCTTCATTAAGTTGAGTAGTACTCATTGTGACCTTATAAAAAGATCTGAACCCCAATTCTATCCTGTGCCATTCTCACACTTCTTGATACATAAGAACCCATTGCAACAGTTGTTATGTCAGTACACCTGGTTGAGAGTCTTCCTCTCCTTTGCTGACTCTCTACCCTTTCCAGCATCATGTCCTTCTCCAAGGAATAGAACCTTTAGCAACAAGTAACATACATTGTATTTCACACATTCCTTCTTTCATGATGATTCCCTTACATTGCATCTTATAATATTGATCCATGCCCACTATTACCTAAACTTTACAGATCCCACTGGATCTTTCCTACTTCCTTCACCCCCTCCCTCCACCGGTAAGCTCTGCAATCCTGTGACATTTCCTCACCCCTCAACCTCTCCATTTTACTCCGCTCCTTCTTTGGACATGTATATATATATCTAAAGAAATTGTTGTTTCTATGTGCCCTTGATTCACTTGTGATATACAGTGACTCTAGGTACAACAGTCCTGAAATCCATTCTATGCGGTACCAGTTGTGTCAATGACACACCCACCCTCATTATCCCAGTCACTGTTTCAATCCATCTCATCAATGATTGCCTCTTTCTCTGTCACTCCACCTTTCCAAGCATGATGTCCCTCTCCAAGGACTGGTCCCTCCTTGCACCATGCCCAAAGTATGTCAGACAGAGCCTCAGAATCTTTGCTTCCAAGGAGCAGCCTTGCTTCACCCTTTGTAGGACTAACTTATTTGTTCTCCTAGAAGTCCATGATATATTAAAAACTCCTCTCCAGCCCCACAGCTCAAAGGCATGTCTATTTTTACACTAATGGTCTTGTGTAGTATTTGTCCTTATAAGACTGAATTAGTTCACTCAGCATAATACTCTCTAGTTTCTCCCATGTTATATAGTACTGTTTTTAAAACTGTTGATCCTTAGTGTTGCATAATAGCCCAGTGTGCAAATGTACCACAGTTTCTCAGCCCATTCATTTTTTAATGGACATTTGGGCCATTTCTATTTTATTTCTATTGTTAATAGTACTGCTATAAACATCAGTGTACAAATCTCCATTTGTGTCTCAGTTCTATTTTCCTAGAAGTATATTCCTAGCAGTGGAACAATTAAGTCATATGGAATTTCTGTATTAAGTTTTTGAGGAAATGTCAAACTGCCTTTTCGAGCAGTTTAATCATTTTATAATCCCAACAGTGTATGAGTTCCAATCTCTCCATATCTTTTCCAACGTTCATCAGATTTTCAAGGCTGTAAACGGTTCTTGAGAGTAGACTTTTATTTTCTCCTATGTAGCAACTAGCGGATCCAACCTATCAACTTTTCAAATACCAGCCCAAAACCTTACACATTGTACCACCAATTCTCCTGTGGAGTTAAGGCTTTATTCTAAGTGGCTTTCATAGCCATAAGTTGACTTTGCCATATAAATAGGCAGCAATATGTGCATAGGATGTTTCAGCCTAACCATAATGAAATTGGCTACCAGTTCACAAGAGGATTGGCTAGTCTCCCTGTTTCACAAAGAGATTTGCTAGTCTCACCATTAAACTTAGCAGATACAGCAGCAGCATTAGAGAAAACCCCCCTGCCAGCAAAGAAGAGCAAGCAAGAGAACGCAACTTGTCCTTTAGTACCAGAGAAACAGCCATAATAATCGCTGTGGTGAACAAGAGACCTGACATGAGATGGATTGAACCTTGGCACTACTTCCTCCCAAGAATAGAGCCAGAGCTAAGCCAAGAGCCTTTGCGCAAGATCATTGAAAAATTTGAGGTGATGAGGGGGTAAGCCAATATTGTCAGGACTAACAACTTTTTAACACTGGACTAAAGACATGAGGCTCAAGGCTTTCTGCTACTAATCTGTATTATAACCTTTTAACTTACAAACTTTTGACTTCTCCAACATGGTTCTGAGTGGTATATGAACTATCAGATCAGATTTTGGACCTAATAAAGCAGTAAGATTAGTGTTGAGATGAGTAAAAAGACGTATGAGAATATGGAGGACATGTCTGACCTCATGGAATTGATGCTAGTGAAGGGACAGTTCCCACTTATTAGGTTGTTGAAGGTTAGTTATGGTTATCCACACGAGGTACTTGCTCTATTTACAACTCCTTTCAGCAACAGTACAGATTCCTCGATTTTCTTAAGGGAAGAATATCTTCCACTCTGTGTGTCTAGCTTTTTAAATATGTATGAAAAGCTTTTATTAAAGCAGTTATGAATTGTCTTTTCAATAAAAGTTAAACATTTTATTACATTAAAGAGAAGAGAGAGTGGCAATTCCAGAACAATAATCGAATGATTGGCTCATCCCAAAGCAAGAAAAAGTTTAATTTTCTCTGTATAATTGTTCATAAGTGTCACATGTACTTTCAAATGAACTTACAATACAGAACATCAGGGCTTCTTTGGCTTAAAGGACTTTTCCTTAGGGAAATAACAAACCACATTTTTTTACAAGTGAGTCTAGAATATCAGTTGCTATACAATTGAGATTGTTAACAACTTAGCTCCACAATCAACACTATTGGTACCAGCAG